TAAATATTGAGATTTTGTTCCATAATATAATGTTATGTTGTGATTTCTATAACACTTCCAACTGTTATAAATATCAACTGACTACATTCTTCGCTATTCTCGCTAGTGTGCTTGGAAGCTAGGGGCAGGGGACAGGGAGCTTCACTCCTCAGGTGTTAGGGTATCTGCTGTATACTGGGAAGCCCGAAGCACTTCCCTCGATCAACCTCATTGAAACAGTTGCTCTCGCGAAGAAAATAGCCGCATTCGCAACCGCAAAGGTAGTGGCTTGGCGATTGCGCGATTGGTGACTCAAAACGGTGGCAGGGGCCCTACGGTTTGTGGATTATATTCATGTCGCCTCAGAAACTGTACCGCATAACGATACTTCCACTACAAATTTTGCCAAACCTCACATTTGAACATGTTTTTGGGAAAAGTCTAGAGTGGGCATACAAAGGGCAGCGGAATAGCAACACCAACAGTTCTGATTTGAAAAGCACCTACGTTCTTATCACCACCTTATTTGAAAGCCTTATCCCCCAAAATCCAAATCCACCATATCATTTTACGCTGCATTTTATTTCGCGTGAAGAAATTTCTTAACTATTATCCCTCTCACTTCCTTATGTGGCAAATGCATAATTGTCATGCTGTCAGACTTCCAAAAGGTAAAATCCTAACAAAAGAGCAAAAGAGCAAAAGAATTGTTGTAGTGTCAGTTCACTCTAGAACCTTGAGTCAAGGGTTCTTCATTCAATAGTTTCTGCGAGGATCCTATAGTATATGATTTCGTAAGGAACACTCGCCATCAAGGATCCCGGTATTAGTGGTGGGGCGGGCTAGCCAGAGAGTCAACCGTGCGTTGCGCAGTTCGCAACGGCACGTTGAGAGATCCTCAACGCACGCTGTATGGGCGGAGACACAGACGGCTCGAGCATGCGAGTGTGAATGTTCGCGCGAGAGAACGTGTCTAATCGGGCGAAACTGCGCAACGTGGCCGTTGAGAACTGCGCAACGCTAAGGCGGGTGTAGCTAGTACGCCAGGTATTAGGGTTGAAGTTAAAGGGAAGCGTGTCAAGCTACTATTACGATACTTGAAGCTTAGTAGAACAAGTGAAACTGTCTTGAGTATGTGATTGAGCGTTTATGAAGCGCAAATTACGCATACTTCTGAATATTTCAGGCTGTGGCAAAGGCGAATCGGAACGTAGCTTAATTGAATGTTCAATCTTGAGAGCTTGGAGAACTATCTCTACTGAGCTCATCACGCCTGGATCTGGTTCGCCGTGACAGAAACGATTTTTCCTTCTTTCAGCGCGAAAACTTTTTCGCTGAGCGAAAACCCCACGTTTCTCCTGTCAGGTTGCTGACCTTAGGTTCAACAGAGCGAAAAAAGTTTCGTACTTGCAAAACAAAAACCCGCTTTCTGTCCTAGCCAACCATACTCAACATGCAAGATCACGAGATTGACATGGATAATTTTGTAGTCGCGTACGTTCATAAATAGTTCAAAAATTAATGTCACAACGGATGCAGCTCGGTGCGTTCTCCAAAACCTTCACGATAATCCATGCCTGGAAAATATGGAAATAAACCATAGCGAAGAACGAGCTAATTTTTCAGGAAGTGCTGCGAAGTCTAGTGAAGTGAGGACACTCTTCAGTATGTCTGATCTATCTTTTTATTTTTTTTTCTTTCTCTCAACATTTTTCCTCAGAACTGCTTTGTTCCTTTTTACCCGGAACACATTATGAAGAGAAAAAATCAGAGCGTGCGTCACCGAAAAAGATTCTCACTTTGTTCGATTTGGTTACACTTCCTGGAAAATTATCTTATTTTTCTTTGTTTCTTTTCACACCAAGTGTCCCACTTATCACTTGTTATCCAGACATGGATTCTCATGAACATTCTCGAAAAAAGGCGATAAGGCCGCGTTCATAGTTCGCGACTCCGGAGATTAGGATAGTACGCGACAATGAAAAACATATGTATTGACGGGGAGATTAGGATAGTAGTAGATTAGGATAGTGCGCTGACAAGATTAGATATGTATTGATCTATTCGCTTGAAGTCGCCCAATCTACTACTCTCCAGCGATTTCAATCGATACGTATCCTACTATATATAAGCGGCTAGCGTGTGTCTGTTGGTGTGTGTGTGTGTGTGTGTGTGTGTGTTTGACGGAAATTCATAGCTCGAGTCACAGTAACGATAGCGCAGTGGTTCTTACATATGTTATAGGGGGTGGGATGGGGACACAAGTGGTACGTGATAGGAACTGATAACGACTGATAATAGCTGATAAGAGGGGCTAGAAAGCGAGCATCGCCAATTTCGTTTTGCCGTTCATATTGGTAAAGAGCGTCTATACTTACAAGTCTTATGTGGGGCGGTCCCGGGACATTGGTGGTACATGATTGGAAGCGATAGCAACTGATAATGGCTGATAAGATGCGCTAGAACGCAAAAGTCGTCGATTCCGTTGCCTGGCTCGCGTTGACACCAGAGCAACCATACTTACAAGTGTTATGTGGGGTGGGACGGGGACATTGTTGGTGGGTGCCAGAAACTGATAACGATTGATAAGGGCTGATAAAAGGCGCTGGAACGCAAGTGTCGCGAAATTCATAGCGCGGGTACCAGAAGTCATCAGGAGTTGATTTCAAGATATGGTACAGGGGGTGGGACGGGAACATACTGGGTGGGGGACAAAAAGCGATAACACCTGATAAGGGCTGATAAAAGGCGCTGGAACGCAAGTGTCGCGAAATTCATAGCGCGGGTACCAGAAGTCGTCAGGAGTTGATTTCAAGATATGGTACAGGGGTGGGACGGGAACATACTGGGTGGGGGACAAAAAGCGATAACACCTGATAAGGGCTGATAAGATTGATCAGGGTAAAAATGAAGAACCGCTAAACTATTTAGTTTGCGATTTCGTCGTTGCCATCGAGATTGCTTAGACCGCTAATCTTTCCGAGCTTTCTGGGATGGTCGGTGTTTGTGCATAATGGGTGTTGGTGCTTCTCTTTCAATGCCATAGACGTAACAATGGACGTAAGAATTGCAACCGCTAGAATATCTCAACATCCAAAGCATGATAGTTGTCCATGCATAGTCCTGATAGCGTAAACAACTATCGTGCAACTTCAACAAAGGTATTAGTTATCTGAGCTTATTCGGCCGCTAGACCATGTTAGTTTCCGAAAAATGATGGACGTTTGTGGGGTTGACGAGCTCCCGTAAATAATTGCTTTATCACCAGCAGTATAGTCACCTTCGTTGATAACATCTCTCAGATTCATCAAAAGCATGAGTGCTGTTCAACACAAGGGCCCGGCTGTGCTCATTTTTGTTACCGCCTATGTACTTTGACGCGCGGTAGCGAGCGAAGCCAAACTCATTAAACCGCTCAACTTTAGGATTTGCGAAAGTGTGAATGTAAAGCAAAGATAAGCATCAGATCTCACTTTTTATAAGGAGCATATTTCATTTTCATTCTAAGGCTAACAGCAAAACTCTAATCACCGCTAAATTGTCAGGATTCAAGAAAAATGCTAGGTGTTTACGAGTTGTGATAAATATACCGACTCAGCTTCGCATTCACGCGCATGTATGATGGACTTCAATGAAAGTGACGATCCTCCAACCTCAGGTCACTCCACTGACATATCCAATAGTGAGCTGCTTTGTGGAGTAGATCACCAGATGTTCCTTAAGTCCTCCAGTTTCGCTGAAGCCTACCGTGTTATGCGCGCGATAGCGAGCGGAGCAAAACTGGTATCAAGTACGCTGCTATTGCAATCCTTTGATGATTGCTGTAGATGTGTTTAGGCGCCTTATCACGCCGTCGATAAGGGGACACTACCCCTGAAGCATAACCTTATTTTGTCTCATGAGTAAGAGTCCTACATCAATCGCCACTAGTATTCCTACTCCTCCATAGACATTTATTCAGCACCACTTCCGCAGCAACAATCCAGGACGACGCGGCGGTAATTGTTTTAGGCGACATTTGACCGATAAGTGACGAAAAACCAAAGAAAATGCTGAACAGGGCTTTAAACAGGGACTCTTTCCCTTCTGCCGCTTAGCGATGAGGAAAGACGCGTGTTGGACGAGTTGTCTGAACTTGCCCGCACTAATGCGCTCCAGTTGCATAACACTAACATAATTACATAACACTATACATAACATAACAACATCACAACAACAACAAAAAAAAAAAAGAAATTTCCAGTGCAACAGGCAGGATCACATTGATTGCTTTAAAGGACAGAGTTCAAATACTCCCTGTGGTCCCAAAACGAGTACGAATGCCTCCGCAGCCAATCACGGCTGGCAAGTGGGCGGTCCCGAAGAAATCTCCAACCACACCCATTTTTGAGGAGTTTCATGCCCTTTTTGCGCTTTTCCCAGGTGAGTTTTCTTTATAACTACACTTCATATGTTCTCCAATAGGGCCTGTGCATCCTTTAGTGCCATATTATATGCAATATGCAGTACTGACAAAAATTCACTAGAATAAACTAGCTTGTACTCCACATCTCCGCCACCTTTGCCAGACAGCAGTTTAGAGTTCTTATCTACAAAGGTCCTCCCAAGGACTTTTTAAAATCGAACTTCTGCGTCTCCACACTCAACTGTCTACTAGTTCTCCACAGAAGTCAAACTCGATAACTAATTTTCGACTCGCAATAGTGTCGTAAAGATCACAAGGTCAAGCTATAGGCTTCCTTTCCAACACGTTCCAAGAGTGGTCACCATGACCTGACCACGACATAATTACTAGCTTAATTCTTTTTACTACCGTTCCAAGTAAAAACGAATTCGAAAGAAAGCTTGATTCTCATTATTCTTTCATGAAGAACGATTTTGGAAACTAAATGTTCTGCTGAACACAAAAATTTACCAACCCATAAGAGGAGATGAGAACCATAACTGTAATGGAAACACTACCTTATAGCATGCCATAGCACTAAAAAGAAGGCCGCAGAGACACATAGTGACGATTGCACCGATCCGATTCGAACTCGAACTCGATTCAAAGTTGGGAGACTTTTCACGAAAAATTGCAGTCAGCATCACCACAGGTGCTAAATATTCGTTTCCTTGATTTTCAGTTTAGAACAAAAATTGTATAGAGTTAAAAGTAGAAAGCCAGTGATCACAGAACGTATCCCTCACGTTGTCACAATAACTACGTACCAACTTCTGGCATGTATAGAATTAGAACTTTCATTGGCTTGATCACTGTGTACTTCATACTTTCTTGCTATTACGGCGCTGCCAGAGTTCGTTGCGAACTACTTCACAAAAATGAGTGCTGTTGTTAGATGCTCGACCAAGTAGAGCTTTCTCAACATTTGTGCTGTGAGCTATTGTTCTTCATCCCTTATTTATGGCTGCTAAGCAAATGGGAAATAAGTGGCTTTGGAGATGTACAACTTACATTCTATAGACAGCGGCCCTGAGGGCAACGTTATGGGCTACAAAGCGAGCTCAAGTCAACTTTCTTGGAGAAATGGGACATAGCTATCCACAAATTGGAGGAAGCGCTATTCACGCTCCACGAAAGTGCGTGACAAGGGCGTTAGAAATCTCACAGTGACCACACGTGGCGGCCGCTTCTCTTGCTCGATTTCCATTAGTCTGTGCGGTGTGCCGTCTACTCGACTTTGAAGTCAATTATTAAATTTTGTATCTGGGCAATTTATTATACGAGCTTTAAACCTCTACTCCTTCTTTCCCTTACTGATGAGCACTGAAGGGAGGGCACACTAATTGTCTAGTTCCCGTCCAAGGACACATGCGAAACGGAATCTAAACTACTCCCTATTTGACCTCACACGATAATATATCAATGAAGCTTGTCTCTAACGGTAAACCAAACTTTATTGAATTCATAAATAATGTAAATTTCATATATTTTTCTGCTACATCTCTTCTCTCCTTGTCTCCTTTGGACTCAGCGTTCAGTAACTCTTACCATCAGACTATCCAACTCATAGACAAGTCCACCACTGTAGAAAAATCTCCATTTTCTTTACTTCTGGCGGCAGCTTTTGTCTTTTTCCTTACCTTGCTGTCCACTTTGTACCTTTTCATCTATTTTCGAGTCGAATGACCACATCTAGTGACCGTTGAAGGCAGGAGTACAACAAATTGAAAGTTCAAGAAGGTAAGATTGCCTACTACGAGGGAGGCTTGGCTGCCAAGGAAACAAGATATGGCACTTTTGTGGAGGAGGATGCGTCCTTCAGCTACAAAGCAAGACCTTGCTCGTCGTGACAGCCACATTCGTAGCAGCACGCACCTCTAAGTGACGCGTTTTTTTCCTCGTTTTTCTAGATTGCCTTCCAAAGATGAGGAAGGGACGGACACGAAGGCTCCGATGCAGTTGTCTTGATGTCTTGACTCGTGAAAGCTCAACCATAGACCGTTGAATCCGACGGAGTGTCTTCGCCCTGTACAATCGTGGTGCATTTAGTGCGCCCAGAGTGTATTATAAGTGTACGACATCGAGTGCAGCCTCCTAATCCTGCAGAAGGGCTGGAGGTTCCGTAAATATGTCATATTATTGCACCTCAAACGAATGAATATCTCGTTATTTTGGGTCCTATGTAAAATTTTATTTCAAAACGAAAGCGAGCTTCTTTGAATGCTTCGCTTATTTTCTGTTGAAACATTGAGGTTTTCCCAGGAAAAAGAACGGATAAATCTGAGCAGCATCTCGCTAACCACATGATGGACTTACGAAAGAATCTAGTCATTGTTGCGAGTGTAGTCGGGATATTGTAGAAGACCACCCATAGATAAGAATATCCAGTGCTCCTGATAACGTCACTCAATGCACCAAAATAGAACTCCAAGTCTGCAATTCTTCACCTAATAGTACGTTTGAATTGGTTTTCATAAGTTCAGGGTAGTTTCGGGAACTATAGTGATGGTGAAGATAGTAGTTCGCCTTTTTTCGTTTTGCAAGTCGTTCCTACAAATTGGGTGCACGTTGAGTATTTAGATCTAAAAACTCTGTTGAGTTTAGCTCGTCGAGATCTGCAAGAAGTAGCTTCCATGCTTTGAAGGTGCTTCCTATAGGTCTTATTGAAATAATTGCGGAATGCTCTAGATTTTCATCTCAAGAAGTCATTATTTGTATGTAAAGCGCATATAATCTTACTCGTGCAGCCTCATCGTTTTTCAGAATTAAGGGATTCAGCACTTGCCGCGAAAACGTCACCACTCTATTTAATCCACATGGTGAGATTAAATGAATAATTTTTGTGGATTCCAGGATCTCTACTCTGAATCGATGAAAGACAACGTATTCCTCCTGCGCTCAACATCCCAACCTCTCAAGTTGGAATGAGTATCTTATTGTTAGATCAGCTTTTGGCTGTATAAGTGGACCTATTTTGAGACATTTCCCAATTCTCGAACAGATGTTTCGTAGAAATCTGGGGAGAGAACGATGAAATTTTTTCATTTTCGTAGACTACAGACACTTATCTGTATTGATTGAACGACATACTTGGTCTCAAGGGTGAGTTTCTAGTTTCTTCCGTAAAGTGGCCCTAAACATCATTCCGCGTCTTGCCTAGTGGAAAAATCAAATTTTCAGGTGAACTCACAAGCCGGGGATGCGTAATGGTCAGTTTTCCATAAAAAGTGCTTCCGAATGACTTTTTTTTACTTCCACGTACGTTTCGCGTGCGCGTTGCGTTACAGCCGACGACCTTTCGTAGTAGTTGGCGACAGCCCGATCAATGCCTTGCTATGGCCGTTCCATAAACGGAGAACGGAGAATGGGAATGGCTTCACGCAACGCGCACGTAAGTCGCATGTGGTCATCAGAAGCTAGTGAAGTCGATCGCAGTATTGAGAACCCCGAGAATGGCGGAAAGAACAAAGTTTTTACTGCGAGCAGTGTCATTTAGAAGCACTTTTTCATGGAGAATCGACCATTGCATATCTCAGGCCTGTAGGTTCATCTGAAAAATTGATCTTTTCATGACGCGGAGTGATGTTTAGGGCCATTTTACGGACGAAACTCTTACCTGCGATCAAGAGTGTCGTCTAGTTCGTACAGGCAAGCAGCCACTCTCTACGGCAGTGGAAAGGTTCCACTGCTGTCTCTCAGATTTCTACGAAACATCTCGCAAAATGGCAAACGTCATAAAATAGGCCCACTAGTCCTGCTAAAAGCTGATTTAAATTTTTCTTCAAACTCGAGAAAATGGCATGTTGAGCGCAGGCACACGCTGAGTTTTTTTGACGCTTAAAAATGAAATAAAGATCCTGGAATCCGGAATACTCTTCGTTTAACCCCACAGTAGTGGAATAAATCGATCGATATATACGTGATGTTTTTAGGGCAAAAGCTCAATCCCTTATTTATAAGAACGATCAGGTGCACAAGTAGGAATTTATACGCTTCTATACAAACTAGAGTCATCGTGAGCTGCGCAACGGAATGGCAACCTTTGCTTTCTATAGGGTACCCTGACAGCCCTGCAGTCATCCTTCCTTACTGACGAACATATCCCCTTTCCATCCTACGTGTCACTTACATGTGATAGTCACTCCTTATCAGCTTCTATCACTTCCAGTCACACATCAACAATGCCCAGGTACCACTCCACATAACACTTGTTACGCTCTATTGTCAACGTGGTATGCGTAACGAAATGGCTTTTGTGTTCAAAGGCGCCCTGACTGACTTTATCAATTGCTACCGCCCTTTTTCACCCACAAATAATGTCCCTGTCCCAGCCCTCATAACCATTGTAAGTGTGGATACTCTGGTATCAACGCGAGCTAGATAACGGAATTTACGCACCAGTACAGACGTTCCCACGCTCAAAATCTCGAACGGCGCGGTAATAAGGCCCCAGGGCATGTACTATGCGCTATCGCCGCCTAGCCCCGCTACGACCGCCCACCTCGGGATGTGGTGCGTGGCTGGCATAACGTGTGAAATCAGCTAGGTTGATTGCCGTATCAACCGATAGAACGACTGACATCTCCAGAAAACTTGTTTGTACGTGCCTCTTTCCCAAGCCAGCCTCCTTCACTGCTAGTGGGAAAGAGGGTTTTGTTAACGGCCTTGTCGACGGTTTTTCTCAGTTTTTTCTCCACTGTCGTTCCACTTCGCATCTCTATACTCAGTTTCAATCGCCATAATACCCCCTTATTGAGCCCGACTTTTGCCTTTAACGACTTTCGCGTTGTAACGCACCTTATCAGTTGCAATCACTTTCAATCACCCACAACAATGTCCCCGTCCCACCCCACATAACACTTGTGAGTATGGACGCTCTGGTGTCAACGCGAGCTGGTAACGGAATCGACGACTTTTGCGTTCTGACGCGCCTTATCAGCCCTTATCAGTTGTAATCACTTTCAATCACCCACCAACAATGTCCCGTCCCACCCCACATAACACTTGTAAGTATGGACGCTCTGGTGTCAACGCGAGCTGGTAACGGAATCGACGACTTTTGCGTTCTGACGCGCCTTATCAGCCCTTATCAGTTGTAATCACTTTCAATCACCCACCAACAATGTCCCGTCCCACCCCACATAACACTTGTAAGTATGGACGCTCTGGTGTCAACGCGAGCTGGTAACGGAATCGACGACTTTTGCGTTCTGACGCGCCTTATCAGCCCTTATCAGTTGTAATCACTTTCAATCACCCACCAACAATGTCCCGTCCCACCCCACATAACACTTGTAAGTATGGACGCTCTGGTGTCAACGCGAGCCAGGTAACGGAATCGACGACTTTTGCGTTCTGACGCGCCTTATCAGCCCTTATCAGTTGCAATCACTTTCAATCACCCACCAACAATGTCCCGTCCCACCCCATAACACTTGTAAGTATAGACGCTCTAGTACCAATATGAACGACAAAACGAAATTGGCGATGCTCGCTTTCTAGCCCCTCTTATCAGCTATTATCAGTCGTTATCAGTTCCTATCACGTACCACTTGTGTCCCCATCCCACCCCCTATAACATATGTAAGAACCATGGCGCTATCATTACTGTGACTCGAGCTATGAATTTCCGGTCAAACATACACACACACCAACTAGACACACGCTAGTCGGTTATATGTAGTAGTACAGTCACTTCCAATGGTGAAGCTCGAGCTCATGGCGAATGCTGGATGCCCTCTACATTGCTCGCAAACATAATAAAACATCGACGGTATTTTTGGATTTGGAAGAGCTCAGCTCTGAACCGACTTATAATGGGACACCAAACGCGTTTTTTCGTGAATATTGGAAGTTTTACAGCGAGCACCGTATATTTATCCTTCTTCGACCTCAGACCCTAAAGTGGAACTCTTTAAAGTGGAAAGGACATGTACAGAACCTGATTCGTGGAATGAATAGTAATAAGTGGTCCTAGTGCTGTATATATAACCTTCGATGCTGGCTGTTAGGAAAAGACTGAATAAACCAATGATTATATTGTTCATCACCATGGCGATAGCAATCTGAAAGATAATCTAGTCTCGTTATAACCTTTACCAATTCTCCGCGGTGTTTTTGTTTTGCTCTCTGTAGGGAATCTGTCTATCTGAGGCTTAGAGTATGCTCTCGCATCCGATTTACAGTGAAGGAAACCCAGCTGAATTTGGAGAGGAATTATTAGGTAATATGTAATTGTTAGAAGACTATGAGCAGGAAAAATCCCTCTCTGCAGGCATTTCGATGTATCACTAGGTGCCTCGTCCTACTAAAATGTTCATAGTGATGGACTCATATGGCTTTTTTCTACGACAGACATCCATGGATCTTAAGAGTGTCCACGTGGTTTTTCTTCACAGGCGGTTCCTGACTGATTGAGGGATTCAACCGTCATCCATTAGAGCTTTTTGATTACGTTGAACTGTTGTTATCTTCTAGCGTGCCAGAGCCCTTGTCGATTCGATTCGAAGGTTGGCGTACCAGGATGTGATTTGTTCACTGATTTTGAGAACTGTACGACACTTGTTTCTAACAGTAAGAAAATACTATCCTCTATCTCATCATGCCTAAAAAGAAGAGCTAATGAAGAGATTAGGAAAATGTGGGTTTGACCGCTTGCACTCGCTGTTACCGTAATTTTGATCCACCCCGTCTAGTAGGGCTAGCCGGTGATCTGAATGCCAGCCTATGGCAGTGATAGAAGAAGGCTGGAAAAAGTGCACAGAGTAATTGGGATAGGTGTGAGGATCTCATAAGGAGAGTGGATTTCGTTCTTGACGCCACAGCTTATGACTACAGCGGCGAAGGAGGGCAAACGGAAATCGACCATGTGCTGGTAAGAAGATCATCCCTCAAACTGTGAAGGATATCAAGGTACTACCCGGCGAAGAACTGGCTCCCCAGCACAGGCCCCTCCTGGCAGACATTGCCATAGACCTCCCCAAGAAGACAAGGGTAAGAACCGAGCGGAGAATCCGGTGGTGGAAGCTGCATCGAGCGAAGAAAGAAGACCCCAGGCGAGTTTCTAAATTGATCCGCAGGACCAGCCTAGCAGACTTTTGAGACGCGAGCGGAATAAGAGGAGACAAAGCAGTGTTCTTCTGGAACCAGGAATAAAGTGAGGCGTGAAGAGGAAGAAGGACGTATACAAGCGCTAGCAGGAGACCTGAGGACTGCCCTGAGCTCTGAGGACTTTGCTGCCTGTGAGAGTTGCAAGGAACTTGCAAGGCAGCCGTCGCCAAGGCAAAGAACACGGAAATGGACGCCTTGTACGAGAAGTTGGAAAGCAGAAACGCAGAGAAGTTCGTCTTCAGACTGGCCAAAGCCCGGCATCGGGCTACTCAAGACATCAGGGTGGTGAAGAGTGTGAAGAGCAACAACGGCGCCATCCTGAGGAAGCCAGCCGAAGTCAGGGGAGGTGGGAAGAGTACTACAGTGAGCTTCTGAGGATTAGGTGCGCCACAAAGACAACCGTGATCTCAGGCAAAGGCTAGTCGTATCTCTGGGCAGATAATGAGGTTCGTCGAGAATTAGGAAATATGAATGTTGGGAACTGGTGCAATCACCCATCTTCAATTTGGAGCGTGACACGATGGACTGCACTCCAACTACCGCGGGATCAAGTTGACTGCGCATACAATGAAGCTGTACGAGCGACTGGTCGACTCGAAACTGCGGGAGCTGGTCCCGATCTCCCAGGAACAGTTCGGGTTCATGCCCGAAAGTCATCTTCATCGCAGACAAGTGATGGAAAAGTATCGAGAAAAGCGCCGACCCTGCTACCTAGCCTTCCTCGACCTGGAGAAGGCGTTCGACCGGCTACCGCGAGCAGTAGGAGCGCTCAGGGAACGGAACGTGCCAGAACACCTGATCTCGCTGGTGAAGGACATGTACGATGGGGCTAAGGCAGCCATACGCACCCCACACGGCCTAACAAAGGAGGTAAACATCACGGTTGGGGTGCACCAAGGGTCAGCTCTGAGCCCGTTCCTCTTCCTCCTAACACTAGATGTCATGGTGAAGGGGCTCATGGAAGGACCACTAAAGACCATCCTCTACGCTGACGACATCGCCCTGATAGCGGATAGCAGAGAAGAACTACAGGCCAAGGTGCAGAAATGGCAGAAGTCCTGGCAGAAGGTGGGCTCGGCTGAATGTCAAGAAGACCAAGTTCCTGAGCTCTGAAGAGGGTGCAGAGCCGATCGTGGACGGCCATGGGGGAGTATCGAGGTGGTGGAGGACCTTCTGACTCTTTGGGAGCAATCTAGCCGCGACTGTAGTGCATCAACGCGGGGTGGACGAAATGGAAGGAGCCCACTGAAATGCTCCTCCAGAACACTCAAAGGAATAGTGTACCGGAATGGTAAGGCCTGCGATGCTATACGGCAGCGAGTGCTGGCCCCTGAACAAGAATCACGAAAGGCAGCTTCACTCCGCTGAGATGAGGATGCTGAGATGGGCCTGCGGCTGGACGCGACTGGACAGGGTCAGAAACGAGGACGTCAGAGCGGTCATGCAGACTGCCTCTGTCCAATTGGAGGTGCGAACAGCGAACGGATGGTAATAAGAACAGGATGACGCGATAAGAAAAGCGTTGATCGAAGCGCAAAGCAAGCGACCGCGTGGAGCCCAAAAGAGTACTGGTGTGACATCTTCAAGAAGGACCATGCAGAAAGTGCCTTCGACAGGAAAACGTGGCGACGATTGGCAAAAACGGCTGACCCTGTGACAGCGGGACTAACTGTAGGGAGAAGTAGAAAAGAAGCTGGGGCTCTTCGCCCAGTCTGTATAGTAGTGGATTTCTAAGGTAAACGTCTACCGGATGTGAGGCCCACAACGTTCGTGTTACCTAACCAGGAAATGCTTTGAACTTCCCATGGAACTTTGAAGGAGACCTAGATGTATCGATAGAGTCTTGAACGCTGATTACAAATATGGACACTAAAACTGCTACGTGAACTTCCTAAGAAAGTTATGAGCCTTCAAAGTTGGCAAAAAACGTTACTGAGGCGAGCTTACCTGGTGGAATCACAGTCGCCGTGGCTCTGCGCCAAAAACGAGTCTCATATTCGTAATCAGGGCACCCATTTACCCTTATAGAACAAGTTCCAGGCAAAAAGCAACCGTGTTTCCACATAGGTTGCACCTCATCATTAGCGTTCTTTTGCAACTTTTAAGGCTCACAACTTTCTTACAAAGTTCACGTAGCAGTTTTAGTGTCCATATTTGTAATCAGCGTCCAAGACTCTATCGATGTACCTAGGTCTCCTTCAAAGTTCCATGGGAACTTCAGAATATTCCCTGGTTAGTAGGGCCTCTCAAGGCCCTGAACTGGATGTATCTCTCCAATGAATTTGAACTTCACTCGAGCTCTTGAACTATTAAGTGTGGTACTCACTCCATAGCTGCCTCCTCTTTTCCCACGCAGTGAAGCTGCTGACATTACACCCCAAATTGCGATGCCGACACTATGTATGCACAGCTCCAGTGCTTCAAGGTATGTCTGGAAAATGTTGGTAATGTAGTGATATTTAAAATTCAACTGCTTCTATTCCGGTACCTCTGCACTGTCGAGTGCTTCGGGTGCTGTGTGCAACCACAACTTCCTTAGTACAAGTTCAGGTCCTGCTATTGTGATCGCTGAGACCACGCTAACGAGAAGGAATAGGATAACAGCTAGGTCTAAATATGTGCTCATTAAATCTGCATTAGAGGAACTTACCATTAAGTTCTTATTTGTTGTGTAACCAGTTTAGCTCCGCCCGCTACCGCGCGCATTGATAGAACTGACAATCGATGAAGCTTTAGGTTTCACCGCTAAATTATAGCTGCTTCGTTAAATGTATTACTGTCCGTTGCATAGGCTGCCCATCTTGGCTGTATCTCACTGTTTGATAAGCGCAGTGAAGTGCACAGCTAAAGTGATGATGTAAACAACCACTATGCGTCGAGTATCGAGGTAATTTAGCGGTCGAATATCTCAAAACGGAATGCCCAGTATTCATTATCATATTTATTCGAGCATCCCATTCATCCTCAAGAACTCTAGAAGGTGTAGCGGTCGAAAGGTGTTTGAGTTTACAATTACAACGCTAATGAAATGATATTGAAATGAAATGCATGCAATCTGGTTTCGAGTGATCTCTACGTTCGTACGCATATCGTTACTATCAGTCCTCATCTGTCGTTATCACTTTTTGACCCCCACCAAATATGTTACCGTCCCCCCTATATCATGTCCCAAAATCAGCTCCTGACGACTGCTGCGAAGCGCACTATGAATTTCGTGAAATTTGTGTTTCAGCGCCTCTTATCTGCTCTTATCAGTCGTTATCACTTTGTGACCCCCACCAAATATGTTCCCGTCCCACCCCCTATATCATGCCCCAAAATCAGCTCCTGACGACTGCTGCGAAGCGCACTATGAATTTCGTGAAATTTGTGTTTCAGCGCCTCTTATCTGCTCTTATCAGTCGTTATCACTTTGTGACCCCCACCAAATATGTTCCCGTCCCACCCCCTATATCATGTCCCAAAATCAGCTCCTGACGACTGCTGCGAAGCGCACTATGAATTTCGTGAAATTTGTGTTTCAGCGCCTCTTATCTGCTCTTATCAGTCGTTATCACTTTGTGACCCCCACCAAATATGTTCCCGTCCCACCCCCTATATCATGCCCCAAAATCAGCTCCTGACGACTGCTGCGAAGCGCACTATGAATTTCGTGAAATTTGTGTTTCAGCGCCTCTTATCTGCTCTCTTGTAGTCATTAGCACTTGGTGACCCCCACCAAATATGTTCCCGTCCCACTCACTATATCATGCCCCAAAATCAGCTCCTGACGACTGCTGCGAAGCGCACTATGAATTTCGTGAAATT